ATGCTGCCCAGGACAAAATGAGAATTTAAAGCAGTATTCCAGTGATCTGGAATTAATGCCTGAATGCTGAGGAGCAGGTAATTTTTCCTTCTAGTATATTCAGTATCTTGCAATGTGGGTTGCACATTTCACACTATTAAATGGTCTTTTCTGGGTAATGAGACATAAAAGCCTGTTATTATTTGCATAGATTAAGGTATTTTTTCCATGTCACAAAATATTGCAAGTTTGTTTTTAAATGCTTAAAAATCCCTATGCTTTGGAGTAGGGTTGCTCACCTTTGTGGTAGGGGTATCCCTTTGTCCTCTTTGTGGAAATACGACTGAATTTAGCAGATTTCTAAATATTTTGGGGAAAAGAAAGGTACCCATTCTCAGGTATTCAGTGCAGGCTTCACTAGAGTTTGACAGCTACAATTTCCAAGCTTTCCCTTCCCAGGAGTACAGCTCAGTGGGACATCCACATGCCAACTACATAGAGTAACTAGATATTTTGCAGGTCAGGGCTATGAGGAATCATGGTCATTTCCATTACTAGACCCACAGGGCAGGCTCAGCCAGTGGTGCATGCAAGAGCAGGAAACCCTTTCTTCTACACTGCTGGCAGATGTGCCTGGGATCCAAGTGGCCTTAAGGAGGTAGGAACTTGTCCTGAGTGTAGAGGAAAGAAAAGGGAAGAGGAGGGGGAGAAAAAGGAGAGTAAAAATCAGGACCAGATGCCATTGGTATGATAGAGGAGAGAGAAATAGGAGCTAGGAGGTGGAAGGAAAAGATGGAGGATTATTGAGTAAGGGACAGTTGGAAGTCAAAAAATACAGGGAATTGGGATATGTTTGGCTGGCTGAGGGTACACAGAGGAAAGAGGTCCTCTTGACTGCTCTCTGGCTGATGAGAAGCTGAAGGAAACAAGAAAAGATGGGATTAATTTGGAGAAAGAATCTGCTGTTACAAGGAGAAAGAGTGGGAAAAAGCGCAGAGAGATAATTTGTTAGGGATAACCCACAAAATCAAGATCCAGAAGGAGTGCTCAGGCTGCTAAGGCAGGGAGGCTGGGAAAAGCAGCTGTGGAAGCCTGGCTGGGTGGGAAAGGCACTGAAAAAGTGTGTGTGAAGTTGGCATTTTGGGCAGTGGGGTGGAAAATGAGAAAACCAAGACTAAATAACTGGGCCTTCTTAATTAAGAAAAATGAAAAATTCACGAAGATTTAGGGTAGGTTATTGAGTTATCTCGAGCCAAGGAAAAAAGAGACATCATTTGAGGAGGGGGGGAGGACAAGGAGATACTGGGAGTTGACCAGTGAGCTTGGAAGATAAGCAACCAATCATAAGCTGAGAAAACAGACAACTGGACTTTGGGGGTGGGTAAGGAAAAATACTGGAGAAAGAATAAAGCCCTGACATTAAGAAAGGAAATTACAAGAACTTCTCCATACTTAAACTGCTTCTGCAAATTCTCAGCTCAGCTCCTGTGGCTAAGATCTGTGTGCTATCTCTAAAGGCTCCATGTGATGCTCCTTTAGGGAAGAGTGGTGTGGTAGGAAGGAGCCCTACAAAACCATGCACAGACACACATTCTTGAACTCTAAAGCTGAGCTCTAAAATATGAAGGAATTCCAATAAAGCACATAAAGCTTCATTCAGCAGCTGGATGTGCTATAGACTATACTTTCCATTATTGCTGTGACTAGCACTGGGGAATTGCAAACCCAAGGCCAGGCTGACATAGAGCTTGCTCTGTGCTCTGCAAGGGGTGAGTTCATTTCACTGGCATAAGGATGGCTGGACCACATCCTAAAGTGGCCACAAGTATCCAGTTGTTCCATAATTCTGCTTTCATTGTTTGGGATCCTCCTGCTGTTGTACTGTGACACTAAATAACTCATGCATTTACTCAAAATGTAAAAGAAGGCAAAGAGGACATTTTATTTTTGACTTTGTAATATATAGAATTTTAAAAGTATAGTAGATTGGAGGGTAAAATTTCTACCTCTCCAACCACACTGGTTAAACTAATAGTCTATCAATTTTCTCTTCCTATAAAGAAGAATGTAAAACAATCATTATTTACATGAACAGTGTGTGAGAAACTCTAGTAGAAATATGTAAACATCAGAAGGTATAGAAAACTTTTAAAAGAACAGGGTGACATCCTGCTATCTCTAGCAGAAGATATGTGGTGTTTCTGAAATCTTGTTGACGTGTACAGTGGCAGGCACAGGTGGAGTGTGTATGTCCATGTGTGAGTGCATCCATCTACTGCAGGTAGGGAGAGAAAAGCACCATTGCCATGTTCCCATTCTTTTTCTCAGGAAAGGGTTGTATGAATGCATGCAGCAGAGCAGGGAGCACACACACATATGTGCTTTTATACTCATCTACACAATTATGTTTTGGAAGAGAAAAGTTCAAGGAATAGTCCTTTGTGCTAAAAAGTGCACAAAGGGATGATCTCTAGGCCTCATAAGAGTTATTCCACAGCCTTTTGTTGTTCTGGGAAATTCCATCTCCTGCACAAAACCCCTTGTTACTGCTGTATAGTTTCATGTTTTTCTAGAAATGAAATGATTGTTTTAAGCCATTGAGTGCTTCGGGAAGAGAACCAAAATCTTGAACATGCTTTAGTCTTTCCTGGCAAAGCTGAGGAGAGGTCTGCTCATTAACACATTTCCTTTACTGTTTCTTCTGGAGCTGAATATTTAGCTGTAAACATTTATGCTGGATATTTGCATCAGTTGTTTTCAGTCCTGCAGACTGACAGGGTCTGCATGTGTATCTGTCATGGAAAGTGAGGTTGCATGGAGCACACCCTTGTGTGCACCTCTCTTCCTCTTCATCATTTTGGTCTCCCACTTTGTTCTTAACAGTAGCATATCCCTGTGGCAAGCATAGATAACACTTACCAGGAAATAACTTTTATTAAAAATGCTTATTATTAATAAGAAAAAATTATTTAATGTATTTCTAGCCTTTTTTAATATGTTGTAGCTGTATATACAGGGCAAAAAGCAATGCCACATGACCATGCTGCTTTGGGAACAGTCTATAAACTGCAGTTAAATAGTTTCAAGATATTTATGCAGTGTATAAGTCACATGAATAAAGGTTTATCACAATCAGTAGGAATGCTGGATTTTCATATCACCCATTTGCTGCTTAAGATGATTAGCAGGAAATTTAATTTGCACTAATTAGCCTTAGGGGAGCAAGAAATTAACTTGATGGGTAAATTTCGCTTTTTACTATATACCACACCAACATGAAGAAATTTGAGTTAAACGATGAATTAAATCCTATGATAATACACTGGACTTCAGTTTTTCTAAATTAAATTTAAAGACTGTAAAAAATATTATATGCATGGTTAATGGGTGGGGATTTTTAGGATCTACAATTGTACAACAGTCTTTCAATGTATCCACTGAAAATCACACTTCCAGACAGTGTGGTATATTTTTGTACATTAAACTATATTGATATGTGATATTACAGCAAAAGCTTTTACAACTCCTAATTTTCTCTATTTGCATATTTCCATTACACAATATACATTATGATTGCCTATACAATATTTCATATTGCAATGCACAGAACAAAAACAGTATTCACAGAACTACTGTGAAAATTCCCTATTTTTTAATTTGCAACACCCATTTGCAAATGCATTTTTATGTTCAAGAGCCTTTGTTCATATGCTGGAAAAATTTCTATGAAAATAGTTTTTCTAGAAATCACTCTCAAAAGTATACAGCAAATAAGGGAGGCATGAGTCACCACATAGTCCTAATAGAAAAATTAGAATTAGGCACTAATAAACTTTAATCTTGCCTGTGGATGGTGACTTTTCTACCTCATTCTTCCAAGAGACCATTTAGATTGCTTGGTTTTTCCCTGTAAAATGAAGGCAATTTTTATGTATCCACCACTCAAAATTACTGTGGATTGATTAATGCTTGCAAAGCAATGAGTCATTTGGTATGGAAGCATCCATCTATTATAAACTGAAATGTTCTCTTATACCAGTCTTGTGGTTACATTCAAATTTATCTGTAAAGAAGGAGATGGAAAACATCAGTTGCATATGAGATAATTGCCTTTGATGTCAGTGGTGCTGCTGCTACTTTGTGCATCTGAAGCACACTCACTCTCACTACGTTTTTGGAATTAGACCTTGTAAAACTTACCTAACAGTACTACTGAAGTGAGAGATGTGACTTCAGTGAGTTTTGCCTGACTAAATAATTCTGAATTGGATACCTTCAGCCCATAATTTATGGTTTAAGTTGTGCATGTAAGGCAGTTCAGGTGTCTGCTCAGGCTTTCGAGCCTATGACATAAACGCTGGTCTGAGAGATCTCAGATAGATCTGTGGGTGGTCATATATTGTGTAACATCCTAGTTTTCCATTCTCAGGTCCTCCTTCAATCCCCAGTACTCTGATTTCTCAGTAGCAGCCCTTCTGTTGAATCAAGAGTGCATGTACATGTGTGTGTGCACATATATACAAGTGGGTATATATAAATATACATGTGCCCACACACACAAAAAAATATCTATATGTGTATACAACCCCCTTGTATAAAAGTGCTTTGCTTTTTTTGGATGTAGAAGTATATTTCTGTCAATACTCATCACTTGTATTTAAACACTTATGGGTAATATTCAGCTTTCAGTGGTAATTGACATCATGTGGGTTTTTGTGTAATAATTACTTTGGGACAAAAAAACCTTGCAGATGGTTTCAAGAGTGACTCTAACTTGCCATCAATGTAAAAAGATTAAATATGATGAGCCCACTCCCTCTGAATGGAGTCAGTCATTTTCATTGATTTCAGTGGGAGCAGGCACAACTTTGTCTCTACAAAAGGGAGAGAACATGTATTATATTCATTAAATGAAAGTTTGATTTCATTGCACTTAAAATTATTCATGTGCTGTTAGCAAATGACTTGAAATTTTATAACCTAGAGCATTTGTTGAATTCTGCTTTGTATTTTCCTCACAGCAATTGGAAGAACCCTCATTCCTCGTTATTTTAGCACTGTCTTTGAAGGAGGTGTAACAGACCTGTATTACATCCTCAAGCACTCAAAAGAGTCATACCACAACTCATCCATCACAGTGGACTGTGATCAATGCACCATGGTCACTCAGCATGGAAAACCCATGTTTACCAAGGTAACAGGAAAGACTCAATAAAGCATGTTGTTGGTTTTTGGTTTTCTTTTTCTTTTTCAGTATGTATAAGTGTGAAGAATATTGGCTGTTGAATTTTTCTGGTAGACTGAGATTATTTCTAATACTGAAAACCCTTGGAGCCATTTAATTACTGTTTTCTATATTCATTATGTGACTGGAAGATTCTGTGGGTATCTCCTGTAAGTCTCCCAGAAAGATTGAGAGAAACACATAATGCCAGGTTGCCAGAACTATCATTTTTAAGTGAATTAACTTCAGCCTGCCCATCTCCTTTTCTCAGGGTTTGATTTTAAAGCAACAATGATATTTCACATTGCTGGTACCTAACATTTGAGATGGTATGCATTGCATTTGATACTTACCTAGTCAAGGACTCTAAATCTCTAGGAATATACTGATTTAATACAGTAGGATGCCAGTCCAAAAGACAATGAAGTAAATGGAAGGAGTCGATTGAAACATGCTCTGGATCAAACAGTTAGTGAATATTCAATATTTGTAATTGATAGTGAATTATCTTCATGCATAGGGCACATCCAGTCCTGTAATTAAAATGGGTGCCATATATGTGTATAAAAAAGCAGTACCAAAAAAAAATTAAAACAAAATTTGTCTTATATTAAAAAAAATCAGGAAACTTATTTCAAAGTGGATACATATTAATACATTAACAGTAAATAATGATAACAGGAAATAATGATAATAGGAAATAATGATAATAGGAAATAATGATTTTTCCATATTTTACTTGTTCATCTTTAACTTTTTCATAAAGAAAAGAACAAAAGGAGAAGGGGCAGCAGGAGAAGGTAGCTATTCTGTGTTGCCCTTGAATTGCAAGACTATGGAGGTTTTAATTTTAAGTTTCTGGCTATTGACAGCACCATGACCAGGGTTACATGGCTTATGCTGTTTTAGTTGTTTGCAAGTCCCATCCCTTTGCAGGTGCTGCTCTGCCATCTCCCCTGGGTGGGGCTCAGAGGGAGGAGAACTCCTGGTGTGTGGGGCACTGGTGAGCCAGGACGTGTGAGCCCATCCAGCCCCTGTGGCTCACACAGACACAGACAGAGAAGAGACCAGATATTTGTGTTGGCCCCTCTTTGCTACCTCACTGCTCACGAGGAGCTGTGAGTCCTGGCCATGTGCAGATGTGCCAAAGTTACACAGTAGGTGCTTCGTTGCTGAGCTCCTAAAGCGATTTCTGTGTCATTTCCCTTTGTGTTGGCTTTATGCAATAGCAAATAAAAGGGGGTTGGTGCGGGGCTTTTTTAACCAGTAAATACAGAATGCTTTTCTCAATTCCGTTAGATTATTTTACTTATCATGGCAGCACATGACAGTGTTGTTATTTTGGAAAGGAGGTTATCACCCAGTTAAGTCAAAGAACGGTATGGACTGGGCTGGGTGCCCACCTCTTGTGAGGACACCACACGAGGAGCTCCTCCCGTGGCACTGTCCTGTTGTGCTGCAGCCCTGGCAGTGCACAGCTTGCTTCAGCCTTCACATTTCTCTGGCAGATTCCAATATAAACCTGTGTCCTGGTAGAAAAGTTCAGGTGGAGATTTGATTTGGATTCTAGAAGAAAAATTAGGAGGGTTTAATGTCTATGTGTTTAAAATGCCACATTTTTGTAAGAGCAAATGTGAAATAAAACACAGTAGTTTGTGGAATAGGGGAGAATAATACTCTCTCAGAAATAAGTTAGAGCTGAATGTTGTCTCAGTTGTGCTTATTTAACTTCTAGCAGAGATACCAAGGGCACAGATCTTGTACCCAAAGGTAAATTCCTACTCTCACAGCATTGGTGATGGAACAAAGCAGACCTCCCATAATAAGCACCACTGCAATGGGTTGTGTAGCTCCTTGGATCATATCTGAATTTGACCCAGGGAAACTATCATGATGGGGGGGAAGGTGGGGGTTAACACAAAATACAAACTGTTTCAGTTTCACAATCAAATTCTATGCTGCGAATTCACTAAATTCTAGTACAACAGACTAAAATACTTTTCATTATGTATTGAATGAAGAGTGCACAGAATCAAGAATCAAATGTGTTTTATTCATTTCAACATTTTGCTAGTTAGAGCAACTCACTGCATACAGCAGTATTGGATGAATATATAAAATGGCATTTCCAATTCTTTTTAAACAAATTTGGCCAGAACATGCCTAGCAGTAAGAATATGTATAATCCAGCTTGTCTCTAGAGCCTAAAAGGTCCTTGTAAAATGTCACACACTTAAAAATTGTTTTATCCAGATATAAATAAATAGCATAAAGAATTTATAATAGTTCAATGGCATAAATAAAATGTAAAATACTGAAGCAAAGACCATATGTTTTTTTACTTGGGAGATGCTCCAATTTTTTCTTCAGGTAGATGATAATTTTAGGAGTCCTCCTAAGTCTCTGTTTTCACTGTGTTTACTCCAATTCTGGCACTCCCACTTTATGTGTAGGCAAATTGATTTTCTATAGTGATCAATTATTATGTTTCCCAGTGGAATGGCAGGGGTGGGCATTGCCCTCACCACCAAAACAGTGAGTGCCTCATGTGCTCACCACTCACTTCCTTCTCCCAGGAGTGCAGCCATCAGCTGGATTTTATTGGTGAAGCCCTTAAAAATCAGCAATTCTAATCCCTACTAATAATATCAGGCATTGCCCAGATTTGTATAAGCTTTAGGTTTCTTTTAAAGCAACAACTCTTGTTTGAGAAGTGGCAGTTAATAAATGGAGAAGACTTCTAAAGATGCCAAGTGTTAAGAGAATGAGATTGTGATCGAGAAGGCACAGGACTAGAGTTGGTTTTCATAGCCACAAGCAGTTGAAATTCCTACAATTAATAAGTGCAGTGAAGGGGTTAAAAAGCTATTGGTTAGTTTGAGAAATGTTCTTTTTTAGTTTTTTCCTGGCCTAGTCTACAGCAACCACGTGATACACTGAATGCCTGCCAGCCTCTTTCTTGTTGATCCTCCGGAGACCATCTGTGCTGGGGGCATTGATTAGAGTGTGTCTGCTGGGATTACATCTTTTCTGTTGCCATGCCAACTAATCAGCTGATTTTGGTTACCACAGAAACAAAATGTCAGAGCTCACAGTACGGTAACATGAATTCAGCACAACAGAAAATGTTTTCTTAATTGGAGACCCTTTTGATTTTTTGGATTCTATGTAAAAGGCAGCTTTCAGGAAAAAAATAGCCCTTTTAAAATAAGAACTGTGCCAATTTTATTGATTAAAAGCAATGTGTAAAATTCTACTTTACATAAGGAAATTAAATTCCTTTATAAGATGTATAAATTTTTACCACTGTAATATGAAGAATGTGTTTAAGTTTTTCTATTAAAATTTGTTAATGCCAGTGCCTGAAATCTGCTAAGAGCTTTGGCAGTGTGAGCTTAACAAAAGAAACATTTGAGAAGCCACAGGTATTATTATTTTAAAAATTGTTTTAAACCTGAAATATTTCCACATTAACTGAGCAGTAACCAGGATCTTTGGCCTCGACACAGCAGCATTAATACAAAATATTTTCCTTCTATGAATCCTTATGTGTGTGCATGTGTACTATGTGATTTTTCATCACAGTGCAGGTAATATGAAAATCAAAGGTGAAACATAAGGCACATTAAATATCTGAATGCATCACTAAGGTGTGTTGAAAAGGGCAGATGAGAACCTGTTGCAAGATTGTCCTTCACAGGTCTACAGGAATTTGTCTATATAGTATGCCTGTTAAAATTATCTATATGTTTTAGCAGAAACAATAAGGAGGAAAAATAGTAAGGACATTATGTGAACTGTTAACCAGAAAAGCCACACATTGACCAAGTGAGAGCTGGCCAAGTCTGAGTTGGAGTTTTTAAAAAGGCTCAACAGACTCAGCTGAATCTGGGATGAATCAAATATTAGCTGAATTAAAATTAAGGTGGCAGAAACCCTTTGAAAGCCATTACACCCTGTTTCCACCATATCTTCCACAATACCCTGAACTTGCAAGTTTACTATGAGCAGGGATTGTAAGTCTAAATCTACAATTAAAAAAAAAATCAACAGTGATAGTTAATTTTCAAAGGAGACATCATTTTCAATACTCCACAGTATTCTCAGTCAAGATACCATGCTGAGCTTGTATTTTTCACCTTAAAGAACACCACAACCATGTACCTTTTCCACAAAAAATTGTGGAGAGTTGTTTAAAAGTGTCCAGTAATTTATTTTATTTTTTTATTTACAAGTATTACCCACTTGCTGCATTTATTCCTCACATATTTTCTCTCCTTCTTAAACAAGATTCCTCACAAAGCTGTGTGAGTCACTTTTTGTGGAAGCAGCTCCATTGTCTGGCTCTCCTCTGCTCCCCTCACTCTCAAACCTGTGAGCAATGCAGCTGATAAGGCCCCATGGCAGGTACCCACCTGGCTTTCCTTGGAAGGGGGAATTAATAAAATTAGATAAGAGGGGAAAACAATCCCAAACACCACCCCCCGCAAAAGAAAAAAATCTCACCACAAAAAACAAACCCAACAGAAGAAAACTCTTGGAAAATAAAATAAAATAAAAAAAAATTGAAAAAAAGTTATGAAAAAGGATGAAAAAAACAGGTTTGGCCGCAGGCATTCAGGGTGCTGCCTACTCCAACTGGACATGAGAGAAAGGTGAATATGCCAAGACTAAAACAGGGTTGGGAATGACTGGTTCTGCAACTTGCCATAAAGAGCAGCACCACAGTCACCTCCACTGCGAGGTTCAGTCATTAATTAGCAGTAGCAAACCATGAGGAAAAGAGAATTGATGCAATAAATAAGATTTAGCGCACAATATTCTATGTTTGTAAAATGCTATAAAATCTATAGCATTATAAGTTACTGTCTCTGAGGTAAGCCCTATGAAGTAATTTTCCCCCATTCATTTTTTCTCCCCAAGAGGTTGAAAAACAATTAATCTAGCAGAGATGAACAATAAAATACTGCTCTGATATTTTTGAATGTTGTTTAATCGATGATACAATAACAATGAAAACAAAATTCCTGGGAATTTATTTCATGCATTTTATGTATTCTAGGTATGCACAGAAGGACGTCTTATCTTGGAATTTACTTTTGATGACCTTATGAGAATAAAAACATGGCACTTTACTATTAGACAATACAGAGAATTAGTCCCACGCAGCATTCTAGCCATGCATGTAAGTAATCCTTTATTCATTTGACCTAATGCAAAGAGATGAGATTAGGTTTATGAAGAACTCCAGCAAATTTCACACCCAAGGCAATTAACTATAAATATTTTGGTTTGCCTGCAACTACATCTATTCACAAGTTCTTTCATCACTCCCTTGTTTTTCAGTGCTCTATTATTGCCACTGTTGCTATGTTTTCATTCTATTTTAAAACGTAATTTTCTTTTTAATCCCACTTGGTGGTCTGTATAATTTGGGTACAAAATCTCTTCTTATTGACCTGAACTACACCAAAGTCTATGAATTTTCATTGTTGTAGGTACCAATGATAAATTTGAGATGAAGCAAACTGATGTTACCCTTGCATAGACAGAAGATAAGAAATTGCCTTATATTTACTTAGAAATCTTTAGAATTTTAATGCAGACCTTTTTGTTTCACATTTCACAACTTTCTTTTGTTATTGAAAGAAAACACACACAATGAAACATTAAAGTATTAAATATTCTACAAGTTAAAGTAAATTGTAGAGAAACAAAGAACATACTATTATTGACATTTTATTTCTTCACTATAGACCCATTCCTACTAGCAGCGCCTCAATATACAAAATCAATTGCTAAAAGGACCATGGTTTTATAAAGAGTAAGAACATAAACACAAATACATTCCTATATTTTGACATCAAGTTACTTAGATATCCACAGATAAGAAAATATTAATAGTGAAGAATTTTATGTAGCTTAAGCTGGAGCTTTTTTCAAAGTGCTGTTTCAAGCCTGAAGAAAACACCTTTGAAAACCTGTCCCACCATTTCTGTCCCAGGATTATCTGCTGTTTTAGGGAACTGATCAACTGGACTCTTCAACAGTATCCCATTAAGGGACAATGAGGATGGCCATGATTGACTTTATGTATTTAGGGTGCTGCTAAATTCAGAGTGGAAGCAGGTTAGACAGCAATCAGCAGGTATTAATTTTAGTAAGGAGATTGATCTCATTTTAAAGAGGAGGCTGGTCTCACAGGTAAAACTCCTGGCTAGGGTCAGGGAAGGACTATACTTGCATTTTTTCCCATTTAATTCTGGGAAAATAACTTAGATCAGAAGGGTTCTCCAGACTGTCTGTAATGTCGCATATTTGATGAGGTCCTTCTGCTGCAGTTTCTTACCCACAAAAAGAAAATTATATGTTTTTTATTGCTGCCTTTTTCTGTCTAGTCTTGGGGGACACACAGCCAACAAATAGAAGTCTCAAAGTGTATTGCAATCCCTCAGGAAGCTCTTTGGTCACTTGCATGACCAGACCTCTTAGGTCTGTCTTTTGAATGGGTGGTCAGGGATCACAGGAACATACTGGAAAACAGTCTTTAGTCTGCTCCAATATCATAATGCTTAAATTTTCCTATGCATATGGAGCTCTAGCTTATTATATAAATTTAGCATCAGTGTATAATTTTTCCATAGCAGTGGCACTGCTTTTCAGGGAACCCTCCCTACATTCCACTAAACACATAGTAAAAATACCCCAATGAAAAGCAAAGTGAAAATTCTTTTTTCCTTTGTTGTTTAGGCACAAGACCCTCAGGTGCTGGAGCAGCTGTCCAAAAACATCACTCGAATGGGTCTGACAAACTTCACCCTCAACTACCTCAGGGTAAGCACACCATAGCTTTATTTTTGTGAGCATTTTTTAAAAGGTACTGTTGGCTTTGAGTCAAGGTAATGAGAGCAGAGCCTGTGTTGATCAGGTAAGAAATTGACCCTTAATGAGGGTGGAGGAAAAACAAAGATACTGCAGTAGAGATGTAGCTGAAAACAATGAGCTATTAAAAAGGCAAAGAATTTTATAATTCACTCCAAGCCTTGTGTGAGTAGCCCCTCTTTTTAACAGTCTTTCTTCTCAGTTTTGAGTAATGCCTTTATTTTATTGTAAGCACAAAATTCCCAGTATTTTTCCTTTCTGTTTCACTGTGCCTGAGAAAATGGCAGCTAATTCTTATTAACAGCTGCCTGTCTTCTCCAGCTTTTCAACCTTGCCACCTCTCCCAGGCAGAGGCAGGGCTGAGGGAAGGTTCAGCTCCAGCCCTGTTTGCAGCAGTCCCTCAAAGCAGTCCTCACTTCACATGCCTCTGGGAGCCTGAGCTTCCTCCTTAGCCTTGCACTGAATTGAGTGTGTTTTTTACGATTAAATAATGCATTTGTTCCCATTGCTTTCTGACCCTTAAAGTGCATTCAAAGTTTAGATGTTTGTTTTTATTTTTGAAAGTCTTCCCTGGTGTGGGCTTACGATAAATACACAGAAACACACACATTTGTAGAGTTCATATTTCAAGCTTAAAATTCAGATTTTTCCTATTTCTAGATGTGCCATCAGTGGATAAAATGAGGCAAATGCACAATGATACACCAAGCTAATTTTGGCCAAGACTATCTGGTTTTATTCTTTTTAATTTTATGAGTAATTATTCAGGGTACTTTTTTAAGATAACACAAATACTAGGAAATGCAGCTATTTTCAGCCTAATGTAGAGCTGTACCTAAGTGTGCAATTTAGCTGTACTTCATTCAGGTCTATGAACCTTGTAATGCCTTCCCTATGGATGGATGGAGTCCTGTCCCCAGAGTGTTTTGAACTCAAGGGAGACAGTGTGCAGAACTGAGATGGTGGCAAGATCTCTCTCACTGTATCCCTACAGTTTATTGATAGCCTGTAGTTGTACTTATAGCATAAGCCATTGCTGATTGTTGCTTTGTGGTATTAATGTAAAAATTACAGTTCAAATTACAGCCTGAGTTGTACAGGGCAGGTCTGGTCTATGGTAAATGAAAGAAGAATATGGCGTAAAATCTCAGAGGAATAATACATTGCATTAGGATTTTTCCACGTGTAAATGTGAGATTAACATGTCCATGTAATGCACATTGTAGTCTCATGGTTAGTTTAATTTGTGATTTGGTACACAGAGAAGCTCTTGTGCTCTGGCAACCCTGCAGCCACGCTGTCAGTGTTTTGTGGTGAGGCATCCTAGAGCATGTCCTCGAGAAAATCCCACTGGGGATTCCTCTTCAGTCATGGCAAGTTTTGCATTACATGTCATGCATTACACGCTTGGGGCAAACCGGGCAGAAAGTGGCTGCCTTAGGTAGGGGATTTCTGTGGTTTCTTTGCAAACTGTCCAGTGGCACCAGGCATTGACCACATCGGGGTGTTTGCTCCCCCGAATGTGACGGTGGCACACACTTGGGCTGGCCCCAGCAGCCGCAGGGCTCCGCAGCCTCCGCGGGGCTCCAGGGCCAGGGGGGATCCAGAGCATCCCCGCTGCCACTGACCCCTCTGCGTCCTCCGGTGGGGTCTGGGATTGCTCCATGTGACAGTGCAAATGACAAAGGCAGGGCTCCGCTTTGGAGGCACCTGGCATCAGGCACCCATGCTGCTCCCTCTGGTAGCATCAAAAAAAAAAAAAAGCAAGAAAAGAAGAGGGAGAGGGAGGAAAAAAACTCAGAAAAAGAAAACTGGGATCAAGATAAGCACTAGGGAGATGAGCAGTGAAGTGAGAGGGGATGAAAAGATAAAGTCTTACTTTTTGTCTTCTTCCAGACTAGTTTTGTTAGCTTAACAGAAGACATTAGGTCTCTGGGTGCAAAGCTTCCTCTGGTTCCTGCTGTGGTGATTCCAAGAGGAAATCTTTTTTTTCTCAAGCCAATCTTTACATGTCTCTTTTTCTTGTGGTGAGGGATTGATCATTCTGCTCTTTTTTCCAGATGTTCGGCTCATCATGGCAGCATGTAATACATGGTGTATTTCCATTTTGATTTGCTTCTTTTCCAGTTACTTTCCTCTATTAATTTTAGCATGAAAATATTTTCTGAGCTCATGCAATAAAAATCATGTACTAATATAATGTGATAAATGTACTCAGATTTAAGGTGTTCTGTTTTGTAGGTTTTTAAGTGAGCATTTTATGATATTTTATTCAGTCTTCCCAGTGTTTAGTAATTAGCACTGTTGCATGATTTTGAATAAGGATCAGAAACTAAGCATAAAAATTATTTTTTTTTCTGCTACACACAGCAAAGGCTTGCAATACTCATAAGCAAAAACTTCAGTGATAGGCGGAATTAATCATTTTTATTCTCCAGTGTGCACACAGCAGCAAGCTGTGCTGCAGTTTCTTTAAAGGCAGAATTTAAACCTGGATTTCAGATGGTGATATAAAGGCATAGCCTGTATTTTTTGGGCTCTAGATATCACAGAATGCTAAATCATTGCTCATTGGGATAATTGCGGTTGCTGGCATGTAAACTTCCATTCCTGAGTGCCACATGCTTGTAGAGCCACAGCTTTGGATGTGTGCCCTGGTTTGCCTTCATTCACTGCAAGTAAAGCTGTCCAGCAAAGAACATTGATTTTTTTAAATCGTATATAATACAAATTTAAAATCTATCTTCTTGGAACCTGGAAATGAAATGTTTTGTCCTTTGTCAGTTGCCAGATGGGCTTTCTGTCTGTTTTCTCTGGCTCTGTATAAAACCATAGGCTAACTTTCTTTCTAGTTACGAGTTTGTTTTGTTCCAGCATAATTGATTACCTCATCAATGGGGTCAGTGTACTTTGCTGTAGCTGCTGACTAGAAGTTGAATAGGCTGTCTCAGAAATAATAAGCAAAAAACCTTGTAGGTTTTAAATTAATATCAAGCTTTTTAAAATGTAATTTCTTATCAAGTCATCAAGAAGTAGATATTGTGAACTATCAGATAATAAGGCCAAGACCTAGTCTCAGTCAGTATGAGTCCAGGAACAAACAGGAATCGTGTACAGTATTTGAAGTTGAAGATAACATTGAGAAGAACAGTTTCCACCAAGCTACAATAATTTAGTCCCCATATTACCTTATTTTTTTTTCTCATTTTTTAGTTGCTGAGCTATTTTATCTATATCTTCAATGCATAATGGATTTGAACGTACTCTAAAAACAATAGCTCTGTACTAGCAGCATTATTGAAATTTGGAGCCCAGCTATTTCTTGTTGCATCTATAAAATGATTCATTCTCTTAAAATTGATATCGTTAAAAGGTCAGCCCTTAGTGCCAATTAAGCAGGATTACCTGGCCTGAGCCTTGAAAGATAGCTTTATCTTGCCCAGCTGGTTTTCAAAATTTGCCTCTGCTTTCTTGCACTGGCTGGGCTGGAGTGATTTCTTAGAGCTCTTCCCCAGATGTGTGTGCTGCATCCTCCCCACACTGTGGTCTGCTCTGGTAGTCAGTTTATTGATGCCAATGGAGCTAAATCAGGACCTGCCCCTTGCAAAGCCAGAGTCAGCGTGGCAGAGCATTCTCACTCTGCATCAGGAGAGGTGTCTAGGCAGGGGAATGCACACTCCCACTGCCCCTTACATCCTGTATGACTCTATTAACCAGGGCTTGCTTATCTCAGCTACAAATTATCCAATTTGTTTGTTCTCTATATAAGACAATAACGAGGTGTTGCTATTGCTACACAGGGGACAATATTTTCTAAGTCCTCTCTTTCACTAATTTAGTTTCTTGCTAGATATTTTTGGATTTCTTCTGCTGGGAGGATAATATAAATTATTTAATGGGACACAATTTTCTAAAGGCACTACTTACACTGTAATCAAAAGCCATTTGTATGTATAACCGTTGTGTACACAAAATTTTATTTTTCACATGCAAAATAGACACACATGCAACACTTTCCTTTAATGTGCAGGGAAATTTGATTTTCAAAATACAGTTTCAAGCACAGGAAAAATATGAGCTGAAATTATTTTGGAAATCTTTTGCTCCTAATCCATAACAGTATGTGGCAGCTATCTGGCAATATTTTATGGCTGTTGGTGTATCTTCAGTGAAGAAGGAGAAAGTTTACATGTATAAATGTTAAGGATGCAAAGTCAGTAGCTTTGGGGAGAATAAATGCTATACTTATAGTCACACACACAATATGAACTCATTTCCCTTTGTGAGTTATGTTGTGTCACCACCATCAAATGACATCTTCAGGCAGTGCAGGCAGTGCATGGGCTAACTAGCCCTTCCTCAATAGCAAGTGCTCCAGTGCTACTCATTTTCTTGTAGGGTCTTCCCCAGTATCATTCTGCTGCCCAGGGAAGTGGTGGAGTCACAATTCCTGGAGGTATTTAAAAGACCTGTGGAGGTGACACTTAGGGACGTGGTTGAGTAGTGGCCTTGCAGTGCTGGGTTAGTGGTGGGACTCAATGATCTTAGAAGTGTTTCCCAACTTAAACAATTTTCTGATTTCATCTCAGCTGCAAACCTTAATGGCTGCATGGCTTCTACCAGCTAAGCAGGCGTTGTCATTGCAGTGTGCACATGTGGCATTAGGGCGCATGGATGAGCACTGGGGCAGTCTGAGGGGACAATTAGAGGGAAGTGCCCTTTCCGAGAAAGAAAGGGCCAGATTTTGCATAACACTGGGGATTTCATCTTGCCCCATATACTAACAACAAAACTATTGCACTTGGATGCAGTCTATTGTCTAAGCCTGGCTATGTATTTATCTATGTATGGTGTTTCTAGAAACAGACTAATGAATTTTTTTTTCCATGACTGAGTATCACAGTGAAGTTTAGGAACAAGGGCAGTTTGTTAAAGCAGTCCTGGGCTACACT